CCGATCGTCCTGGGCCCTCTTGCGAGAAGAGGAGCCCGACGGCTTATGATGGGAAGCACCAGGGTTCTCGACCCTGGATTTTTTGGCAGCTGTCGTCTCGGCAGCTGCAGCGGCAGGCCTCGACCCGGACCCGCCTGAGGGACGAGAGGGAGGAGCAGAACCTCCAGACGGCTGGCCGGACGATTGACCCTTCTTGAGCTCGAAGCGTTTGAGCGCTTTAACTGAAATAATAGAAGAGAAGTTAGCATGTGAAGAACACTTAGCAGTCATGATGCGAATAATCAAAACTCACAAACAGTCGCACAAAGAGGAACAATAACAGCTTACGAGGGTCATCGAGACGAGGAAGGTCGTCGTAAAAGACGATTCGGGCGTGATTGACCAATTCACGATCCTTTATTAACTGACGAGCACTATACGTATGTTTATTGAGCTCCGCCAGCAGAGTAGCGAACTCGTCAGAGTGGGGCCGTTTATTTTGTTTCACTTTCGAGGTGATCCATTTATTCTCGTAAGGATACATACTGACGGCAGGACGAATGAAGACGTACTTCGACTTCCACTCAGTCACATTCGACGAAAGATCGTCGAGGAAGGTGACGCCGGCACGACGACCCAGACAATGGGCGCCTTTGGAAAGACGATAACCGTAGCAGTAAAAGAAAAATTCGGGAGAAAAGAATTTGAGTATTATTCGGGAAACGACTATGAAAGCTATCATGATGCGAATAGCATTTGGGGAAAATTGATTGATGGGGATATTGTACAAATTGCTAATTAATGTTAGCTCGTCTTGGATAGGAAAGCGAAGGCCAAAGACGACTTGGTCTATAAAAAACGTATGACAGCCAGGGGGAGGATGAGCGAAATCGTCGTTAGGACCAGGGGCGACTAACTCCCAATCTGAGGGAAGCCCACTGAACTTTCTGAAGCCCTCGACTTCGGCTGCAGAGGCATAACAAAATGGATTTAGAACAGCTAACCTAGCCAAGGGACAAGCTATTGATACAACATTTTGAGAGTCGAGAAGAGGAGCAATTATTGGTACAGATACAAGGCTCGTTCTATAAACAGAGATATCTAAGAACCTAAGAGGAATACCTCGAGGAATAAGGTCGAGACGAGGAAGATTTCCTCGAGGAGGGCTCTTCACAATATCGACTAAGCCGCCCTCCAAAAGCGCTTGGTCGTGTTGTTCCCAGTCGGTGGAGGAAGCAGTGACGAGAGGGAGAGAAGGACGGGAAGGCGGCGAAACCATCTTGTAGCCGGTCACCTCGACGGAATCAGAACTGGAACCCTCGTCGGCAAGATGGGTATAGTCATTGATCTGCTGACCGAGGGAGCCAGATAGAGGAGACGAGTCGGAAGCTAAAGAAAGAAAAAGGAGAAGGTCGAAGTTAGTAAAGTCACGAGTTAAGGCTCACAGGAGCGAATCAAGTCGACTCGCAAGAATCGACAGAGGATAAAAGAACCACGAAAAAAGGGATAATCGCTATTGATAGCTCGGCTTAAATAAGTCAGTAAGTCAATTCTAATCGACTCGACATGGGAAAACCGAGGGAAGATTACTAAGTCGACGGAGAGTCGGCTCAGCGATAGGTGAGTATCGACTACACAACGACAGCCGACGACTGGCAAATAACAACAAATCCAAGCGAAATATGCACAACTCAAGATCCAACACAGAACCCATAGAACACTCTCGAAAAATATGAAGAACATATATGAACTTCGAAGGTTCTGAGAACCCAGAAAAAATCAAAGAAAAGAAAAAACAGACAAAAGATGGAGAGATAAGAGAATAGCGAACTTACACATGATGGTTTGGTAGATCGGAACCTTGAATGAACTTGGAGTTGCCGGAAGTGAAGAACGCCGGAGAGGCCGAAGTGCGAAAGTTGCCGGGAGAAATTTCAGAGAGCAAGGAGTTTGAGAATGCGAAAAGTAACCTCTTGAGAAGAGGAGGCGTATTTATAGGCAGAGAAAACTAACGCTGACCGTTGGATCAAAGAGAGAACCGACGATCCTGATGGAGCACGGAATTCGAAGGGCCGGTGGTTGAAGTGACGCGCGTCGCTTCAACATTATTGAGATTCAAAATTTAAAATGGGCCTGTCAGAATGTCAGACTTATCCGAAAAAGCAATCATGAGATTGAAGTGCGTCCTAATTGATTGACGAAGACGAGTTATCAAAGAAGGCAAAGACGAGCGAACATTGCAGGAAGACAACGCAACCACACATCACCAAATTTACTCTTAGGCAGTCGACTGCCTAGAGTAATTTTTGGGGGGGGACTAGATGATATAGTCACATAAGGATAACCCGGTCCAGAAGCTCCTTACTCGACCGGCAAGCCGCTCGAATAACTCGCATGTCGACATGGCTCCGTCGACTCTCTGAAAGACGATTCTGTCAAGAGCAGCCGAGAAGAAATAGAAATGGCGCTGGTCGACATGCAAGTCGACTTTAGTTTATCGACTTCTGCTAGTCGACATCATCGGAAGAAGAGCAACAAGAGCATAACACCCGAGCATCCCGACATCTTAAGTCGACTTCCAGTAGTCGACTTAACTGAGACGACCCTCTTGAGACGACTTCACCTCAGAGAGTTGGCCTAGCGTAGCCTCCGAAACAGCATATATTCATAAGTCGACCTCTTAACTCTCGAGGTCGACTCTATACATCTCGAGGATCAAAAAAGTGAAGACGATTCACCATACTTAAAACATATCCGAAGCCTACACATTACACAGGATAAGGAGGAATCTGGCGATGACTCAGCAACAAGGGGAGACGAATCAACCAGGGCATTTTGGACCTTCTAGGTCCACCGACTTGGGCATTGTGGGTACTTCAGGTAAATATTCACTCCTATATAAAGGAGGTGAGGTAACCCTAAATCCCAACTCTCATTCATTCCCACTCTCCCCCATAGCTGCTGCGCAGCCTCTCCTCATCTTTCTGATACTGACTTGAGCGTCGGAGGCTCTACGCCGGAAACACCTCCGGCGTTGAGTTTTTGCAGGGATCTCGCGGTCTAGCAACGGTTGGGAAGCGGTTCAAACAGATCTAAGCTCACAACAACCGGTTTACTCCAGATCTGGAAGTAGACCCATCAGATTAAAACTTATAATAATTAAAATATAATAAATTAAACTATATAAAATTAAATAAAAAAAAATAATTAAAATAACTTACTGTATTAGACAAAAACAAAATATTTAAAAATAAAAAATTACAATTATATTTGTAATAATATTTATTGTATGTATTTTATATTATTTTTATATTTTATTATTGATTTTAATTTATATTATTCCATCCATATTATTTTGTTGCATTATTCATTTTATTTTATCTTAGTTAACAAACTTTATTTATTTTGTTTAACTTAATACAATGAAATAAAATTAAAATAAAATTAGCTAAATAAAATTTAGACATTAAAATTATTTATTTACAATTAAAATCATTTACTAAAAAAATAATATTTTATTTCATATTTTTTTTCTTATTGTATATAAGAGTAAATTATATTAAAATGATTTAATAAATTATCTTAATTTAAGATTTCTATTTAATTTAATTTATTATATCATACAAGTTATTATTTTATTTTAGTTTATCATTTTTATACTTTGTTATCTTATATTATTATTGTAAGATGAATTGGTTTTGTACCGATTTTAAAGTTTCATCTTTTGTAAGTAGAAGAGTTAGAAAATTCTCAAAACCATTTTAAGGTGAATGAGAAATTAATTCTAAGTTGTATATGCGGGAAATGTAAGGTTGAAGCAATAAGTTTAAGTAACTCAAATTGTTGGATTCGTAAACATTCTGTCTTTGACAAGTGGTAGGACAATCCAAATAAGACCTGATCATGCAATTTGCATGCTAGTACTCTACGGGGGTTCGTTGGGGACAAGTAGGAAAAAACGGAACTCGATTCCGAGTTCGTATGAGCTCGTACGAGCCCGCGGAGTACGGGCGCGCAGCTGGCTGCGGACAACGAAAGGTAGCAACCCTTGGTGACTATAAGGTGTCTTTTGGCCTATAGATGCATCCTTTCTCGTTCGGGTATGCCCGGAAAGGTGTCTTTTTACACTTAAACCTGTTGGAGGTGTTTTCCTACATCTATAAATACCCACATAAATGAAACCATTCAGATTATGGAAAAACTACGAGCTCTTGCATTATATTTTCAAAGTTCATAAAGTATATTGTGTTCTTTGATTTTTTATTTGAGTTTTGAAAGTTCCAAACGATAGTAATGTTCGCCAAAGTCTTGTATATTTGAAGTACCGCCATATACAAGTTGAAAGTCGTTGTATCTTGGAGGCGTTTCCCGTTAACCGTGGGTATATTTTACGGNATAGTATTACTTATATAAAATTTTATTTAATGTTTACTTAATAAAGTAGAAACTTTAAGATCAGAAAAAAATTATATCCAAACTTCGGCCAATGGGCAACTGCCAGTGACCTTAGTAGGAATGGTCATTAGTGAGAGAAATTAGTACATTATAATTTGTAATCAGCTCATTAAAGTATCTTTTAATGTTCAAATAAATATAACGGCTAATCTAACCAGACGAGACCCCATGCGAAGTGACACGTTTCATTGTGAGTCTCTTATTCTGCCACGTTTCGCGGTCGTGGGACAGCTAATAAAGTAGCCTCGGGTTTCCCACCAGAAAATAGATGAATAATGGAGAAAAGGAAAGAATGAAGTGATTTTAATAAGGAACGGCGTTAATCGAGGGTGTTTGGTTAACGGTGGTCTTAAGTCGGTTTTGGTCGGTTTCGTCTGGGCCCGTTAACTTGCTGCTGGCAGTTGAAATTGTAACAACTAAAGTAAAATACTTTGACTCTACATTACATTCACAAATGACCAAAAGCACCATTCCGTCAAGTGTGGGTCCCCAGCACGTGTCCCGCCAGAACCTTCTCCGCTATAAGTAAAGCCCAAGCCTGCACCTTTTTTATCCAATTATACATAATTTTCCTCCTTTCTTCATAACGAAAAACGAAAATCTCCCCTTCGTTCCCTACTCACAGACACTGTTCAATTTCTTTGTTTCTTATCCCCAATTTCGACCAGAGCAAGGAAATAATCCCACACATCTCTTCGAATATTGAGGTAGATATCCTAGTTTCCAGTAAAGTTTGTTGTATGTTTTATCCCACTGCAATTTTTTCATAGAGAAAAACAGTTCAATGTGGCTGTTAATATTTTCCAAATCAATTTATTTGTTTTTTCGAGTTCCTTTCAATTCCGTTTAAGATTCGTCAGTTTTATGCACAGAAGGAAGTTGTACAATATGATTTTTCCTTTTCTTTTTCCCCTTACCAAAATGATAATTCTAGCTTGTACGGAATGGAATATAGTAATTACATGCCAGTTTACTTTTTACTGCGCGCATGTTGCTCACCTGAAAAAAAAAAAAAAATTGGTTCAAGGACGTTGTTAATTTATTTTCTTTCATAAATCAATGAACGAATTTTTGCAGCTGCTATTCTTGTGGTACAGTGAGAGAGCAATGGAACAATTTGAGAATCAGGAGCTGGAGTATGTTGACTATTATGAAATTAGTGATTTCGACGATGACAATGTTCCATGTCGAGTTTCGTTGGATGACGATAACATGGACTCTGACTTTGAGGACGATCTTGAACTGGTAATGGAATTTGTTTACATATTTGGGTAAACTTTCAGTTTCCGATCTTTCGTTACGATAGATTAACAGATGGATAGTAATAGAGATGTGTGTCTGTGTTAATAATCTGACTATTTTGGTTGTGTTATAGGGCAAGCCAAAAACAGACACCTCGGCTTCAGAAGTGAGAAATGGCAAGGATATGCAGGGTATCCCATGGGAGAGGCTGAATTTTACTAGAGAGAAGTATCGTGAATCTCGATTGAAGGGATACAAGAATTTTGAAAATCTCTCAATCTCTCATGGAGATCTTGAGAAGGTATCTCAGTCTTTTTTTTTTCGGCATGCCATGTTAACTTTTTATTTTTATTTTAATTCTTTTGGTATTTGAGAGGTTTGTTTTGGCTAATATGTCTGTTGCTTTGTCACAGGATTGCAAAGAAGTAGACAAAGGCCATAAATTCTATGTTTTTCAGTTTAATACCAGACTTGTTAAATCAACGATAGTTCATTTTCAGGTAAAGACAAAATCAACTGGCTTTGCAGTTTTTCATGACTTCCAGTTTGTTGGTAAATATTTGTTTTGGTGGTTAGAGGGACACATCGGTGTTTTTCCTGAAACCCTGCCATGTGTCATCCTTTCTTTCTTTTTTTTTTTTTTTTTNACGAGAAAGTGCCCATGAAGGCATTTTCGAATTAGTAGTATTTGGTTTTTTTCTTGGATCTTTTATGATTTGATGAGTTGTACACTATTTTCTCACATCTTTTCTGTCTGATTTTATCCATGTGTCTCAAGTTGATTTATTCCACACTTCCTTATTATTTTAATAGACAAATATTTTACTCCTTTTTGTATATTCTAATTCTAATGTAATGCATTTGGCTGACTTCGGCATGCATAATACAATCATCCATTTTGAGTAGGCAGTTTTCTGCTTGATAACTATTGTTGGTTATCTGTGTGAAGTAGCTGATTACATGGCTATTTTTTGGCCTTTATGTTTTATATGTTAATCCCTGGGGAAATAAGAGATGTAGATTTGCAGATGCAATGCTTATGTACTGATTTTTTATATTTAATAGTACTATACGTTTCTAGCTAAATGTTCGATATTTGCAACCAACTCTGCTTACTTTCACTACAGGGATTCTCCTACAGCTCCTATTTCAGGAATAAATCTTATGGCAGAGTTCAGAATTAAAATTTGTTCACTATGTGATTGAACATCTCAATTTTGTTCAATCACAAAGATAACAAGTCTTTAAGTTGACTTGTGTAATTTTCTGAATTGTTCTTTAACCCAAATCATTTACAAGAAACAATATTTTCTTGTGCTCTCTATCCATGTAACTTTTGTTCTATTTAGAGAATATGTCAGTGCCCAGACTTAAACTGGGCTTGTATTCACTGAATCCTTTTGGTGCAGATTGTTAACACTTCCCAAGAGTCGCACGAATAACTGTTTTAGAGGATCTGTGTTTTGGAAGGTACGATGTTGAATGTTTTTTACCATGCAATCTGCTGAGCCAAGTTAATGTAAATGGAAGCATTATGGTGAGCTTATTACTTGGCTACAAGATCAGAAATTATTGATATAGCGATGTAGAATACATATGTCTCCTCCATGTATTGCTTGCTCGACTTGTTTTATAACCTGTAGGACATAAGAATCTGTGCAGGGCAACAATAATAACGGGCCGAACAAGGAAACTATGTGAAGTCCATGACGAGTAAACTAGCTTTTCTGTTTGGAATGAGTGTTGATTCAATGCTCACTGCTCAGTATATTCGTTTTATTTCGTATTGAGGACTAAAGGATTTAGCATCTTGAACTATAGCTATTTTTATCATGTGAAAAAAATTGCTTTTCATTCTTTGACAAATGCTTGCCCATGTACTTGCATCGCAGTAACCCCTGAATATTTCATTTAGTTGATATTTGCAAGCTGACTTAATGCTTTGACTTTCCGTTTAGTACCTATCATTAAGGTTTCTTCTTTTCAAAGTTTATGTTTCTCTTACCTAATGTTCACTCTGATAAAGTGTTAGGTTTTAGCGAGAGTTTATTCACCAGAACAGTCTCAATATAGCTTACGATCTCTAGGCACTACTTGATGTATTTATTATGTTAGAGCTTCAGTTTCAAATATATAGTGTTTTTGTTAATTCCTTGTAGTTCAACCCACGGCATGGGATTGCTATTGCATTTTTTATTTTAGCCTTAGAAGCTGAACTGCAGTTTTTTCTGAGCAGCTGGTGGATAATGGATCATTTCCATATGGTATGATGGGAGAGTCTATGAGCTTTAGGAGGCATGGCATTATGTTTGTTTGTCGTCTTAGATTGAATTTGACCATCAGTTTTTATTTTATGGTTCTCTATGGTTTGATTGTGTTCACAGCACAGGCACTCATGCTTGCATACCTTTGTTTGATTTAATCAATTAACTGTTGGATTTCATTTTCTTTGCATCCTATATTATTACCTAACTTTCTAGATCATAACACATATTTGTAAACTACGGAAATTCTGTCCATCTGTGTGGTGGTTCATTTTGATAATTGTGGATGGTTTTGACTGTGAAGTTTATGCAGTCCCATCAGTCATTTGTTGGACACCTGTTATCTACTGTCCTCTTGTTCTGACTTTATAGTGCTTTGGATGCATTTTCTGTTGTCAATTAACTTAGGCATTTGTTTTGGTCTTAATTTACAGTTTCAAATCTTGTTTGGTGTTGTCATTTGTCCAGCCTCCCAAGTAGTTCATGATGAGATATCTTACTCATAACTTAAACTGACAAGCATTGGTCTTCTTTTGCTGCATTGCACTATCAATTTCATCCAACACCCATCTGTTTTTATGTGATACTTCTGTTTCGCATTGGTGGCCCTGTATATGATATTATTACGGGTTTTCTTCATTGTTTTCAATCATGTTCAGTGGTTTGTATTAGGTTTGGGGTTGGAAATTATTAAGTTAAAATACTTGCACTTGCACCGCAGACAATTGGTGTTGGTTTTGGTTTTGACTCTGCTGGTTGTTTGTTTGGTACCTTTCGAAGTGAAAAAAATTGTCACATTTGAATTCTGTATGCGTGTTTAAAAGCGACCTTTGGTCTACACTTTCTTTTCTTTTCTTTTCTTTTCTTTTTTATTTTTTTATTTTTTTGGTCTGGGGATCTGTAATGTGTCTATTCGCCTCTTTGCTTAACCATGTTTCTTTACATAGTGGCTTTTTGCTTCTGTAATGTGTCTCTTCGCCTCTTTGCTTAACCATGTTTCTTTACATCGTGGCTTTTTGCTTCTTTTTGTAGCATTATGATTATGATTTTTAACTATGATTTGTTCACCTCGCAGCTGAGGAATCTCCTATGGGCAACCTCAAAGCATGACGTGTACTTGACGCAAAATTATTCTGTCATGCACTGGTCGTCCCTTCTCAGGAGGGGCAAAGAAGTGCTCAATGTTGCTAAACCTATAGTGTCATCCTTGGTATTCCCCTGAATCCAACTAAAATTAACCTCTTACCGCATCAATTTCATTAAACTTCTTACAGTCTTCAATGTTTAATTTATCCTTCATGCAGAAAAATCCTGGATGTTTAACGCAGCCTCTTTCTAGGGTTCAAATAAGCACAATGACTGTGAAGGAAAATCTGATGGTTGCAGGTGGTTTTCAGGGAGAAGTTATCTGCAAGGTAATTGTTTGCTAGGCATATCATATTTTTTGTCAATTTTTTTCACTCAATTAATTTTTTTTCTTAAGCTCACTTGGTACTGCAGTATCTGCACCAACCTGATGTTGCCTTCTGCACAAAGTTGTCCGCAGATGAGAATGCCATCACTAATGCTGTTGACATATATCACAATCCTAGGTACATAACTGTGAAGCCCATGAGAATCATCTATCTTTTAAAAATCTAATGGTGATTTGTAATTCGTCTGTCCAGTGGTGCACTTAGGGTAATGACGGGAAACAATGACGCCCAAGTCCAGGTCATGGACACCGTAAAATTCGCTTGCCTTGATCGGTTTACATTCCCGTGGTCTGTAAATGTAAGAAAACTTCCACTCTAGTTTGGCAAAGCTTCTATCAACTGTTGTTATTTCCAAACTTCAAAACTACATTCTAATATTTAAAAGAAAAAGAAATTGAAAATACCAAAAACTAGGAAATTCTTGCGTCAACTAAAAAAAAATTGAAGATACCCAAAACTAGGAAATTCTTGAGTCACCTAACTAAAAATAATGGACCATATATGAAAAACTGAACACTCTAATAAAAAAACTTACAAATCGTTGGACATCCAAAAGTTTGTTTGTTTTCTTTTTTCCTTGGCCATTTCAGTGTGAAGAAGCAGTTAGTTTCATTTCTTTAAAGTATGCAACTTTTGGGTTTTTGTTCATATTTACTACAGAACACATCAGTCAGCCCAGGTGGCCAAATGGTGGCAGTCCTTGGGGACAATCCCGACTGTTTGATTGTCGATGCCCAATCAGGAAAGGTAATCAGCATCTTAAAAGGTCACCTCGACTACTCATTCGCATCCGATTGGCGGCCAGATGGACAAATCTTGGCAACTGGCAACCAAGACAAAACCTGCAGATTGTGGGACGTGCGCAAACTGTCCGAGTCCTTAGCCGTGCTCAAGGGTAGAATGGGCGCAATCAGGAACATCAAGTTCACATCCGATGGCCAATTCATGGCCATGGCTGAGCCTGCCGATTTCGTGCACGTGTTTGATGTTAGCTCTGATTATAGGTCGAGTCAGGAGATTGATCTTTTTGGGGAGATAGCTGGGATATCGTTTAGCCCGGATAAGGAGGCCTTGTTCGTGGGGATTTCTGACCGGACATATGGAAGCTTGCTGGAGTTTAACCTCAGGCATTTTGACCGTTATCTAGAGAGCGTGTTTTGAATGTAAAAACACATTATTGTGTCGATATTTTATGTTTTTTTCTTGTTTTAAGCCATGATTCTGTTGGTAAGAGTGTTTTTGTTGGGCTGATGAAGAGGATGTCATGGTCTGCAGGTAGTAATAAGTATAGGAGGTTTGGGTTGGTTGATGTTCTTTTCATGGATTCTTTGGTAACTGATGTACGATGGTTTTTGGGTTCAAATTCGATTTGAACTTTGAAGGGTAAAGATGTGATATAAAAGAATAATTTTTTTACAAATTTAGAAATTTTTTTTCGCTAAAATTATTAAATATATTTTAATATAGTAATTGTTGGACAAATTTAAATAGACAAAAAAATCGGCTCATTTTTTTTAGTTTATTAAAACTGTTGTTTGACAATAAATATTTGTTTTTCTTTTTCCTATTTTTAGTATAAATCTACACGCTTATCTCTTCTGTTACAAAATCCCATTGCATACGTCTCCGTGTTTAAAAAAATTCATGCCTTACCTATACAGATTTAAAAAAATAAAATAAAATAGAAATCAATTCATAATTACTACTAGAAATCTATTATCTTTAAAAAGAAAAAATAAATTAAAATAGAAACCAATTCATAATTACTACTGAAAATCCATTATCTACTTTAAGAAGCTAATTTTTATTGGTCTAATTACTAATATTTTTACAAATATTATAAGCTAACCATAAAAAAAAGTATAATAATAATTTTGAAATGGTGTGTAATCAAATTTTTTTATATTATCTTATACAAAAAAATTTTACATTGTTTGACCCCGAATCTTTAATCCATAATTATTAAGTATTGTTTATCTTCCTCTTTAATTTATAATTATTTTTTTTGCTTCTTTTTTTTTAAATAGGATCAATAGTAGTTTCCACTTCGGTCATTGAGTGACTCAAACTCGAGGTCTATTTATAATATTGTTAATTTAATATTATTTCTGTGCATCGCACGGGGGTATACACTAGTTTAATTTGAAACAGAGTTGTTGAATTACATGTGTTAGAATATTATGTGATAGAATCTTATGTGTTGGGATATTTTGTTGGCGGCATTTGAATTTAATTCTTTTTTTATATATATTTTCTTGATGATATTTTTGTTGGTCAAGCAAAATAATTTGAATATTTACTTATTAATGTTCCTAAAATTCATTTTATATCTATGTATTTCTCTATTATATGATAAGTATTTGGAGTTCTAAATTTTATGGAAAAAGGATTATATGATGTATACAATATATATGGTCATAAATATAGAAGGTTGACTCCACTATGGACCTAACTGTTGGCTTTATAGCAAAACTGAAACTATGCTACACACTGAAAATAATTGATAAAATGTGAAATAGTTATACGTCGACCCTGATTCCTTTGACCCCCCGCAAAGCCCTTCTTGACTCGATCACTGGCAAGAAAAGGGAACAATTATACCGAACATAATTAATAAAATGCAAAACAATTATGCGATAAACTATACGATAGACCTTAGATAATTGATAAAGTGTGAAATTGTTATGCGATAACCCATGCGACAAATACGAACATAATTGAAAAAGTGCGAAAATATTATGCGAAAAGTTATGCGACAAGCAAGCAAAGATAATTGATAAGTGCGAAATATTTATGCGAAAGGTTATGTACAGACATGCGAACATAATTGATAAAATGCGAAACAATTATGCGATAAACTATGCAACAAACAGATGAAGATAATTGATGCAAAATCTTATGCAACAGATAGACGAAGATAATTGATAAAGTGCGAAATATATGCGATAAACTATGCGACAGACAAGCAAAGATAATTGATAAAATGCGAAATATTTATGCGAAAAGCAATGTGAAAAACATGCGAAGATAATTGATAAAGTGCAAAATAGTTATGCGATAAACTATGTGGCAAACAGGCGAAGATAATTGATGCAAAATGTTATACGACAGACAACCGAAGATAATAGATAAAGTGCAAAATAGTTATACGATAAACTATGCGACAGACAAGCGAAGATAATTGATAAAGTGCGTAATAGTTATGCGATAAACTATGCGATACAGGCAAAGATAACTGATAAAAGTGCGAAAATATTACCCAAAAAACTATGCGGCAGACAAGCAAGGTAATATATGAAGTGCAAAATATTTATACGATATGATATGCGACACGCAAGCAAAGTTCATTGAGTAAAGTGCAAAATAAATTATGTGATAAAGCATGCAATGGATATGTGAAGTTAATTGAGCAAGTGCGAAACAAATTATGCGATAAAGTATGCAACAGACAGATGAAGTTAATTGAGGAAGTGCAAATTACTTATGCTATCAACTATGCGACATACATGCAAAGTTCATTCAGGAAGTACAAAATAAATTATGTGATAAAGTCTGCAATAGACAAGCAAATTTACTTGAGCAAGTGCGAATTATTTATTTGACCAACTATGTGACATACATGCGAAGTCCATTGAGCATGTGCGAAACAAATTATACGAAAATGTATGCAACAGACAAGAGAAGTTAATTGAGCAAGTGTGAATTACTTATGCAATCAACTACGGGACAAACATACAAAGTTTACTGAGCACGTGCAAAACAAATGATGCGTTGAAGTATGCAACAGACAAGCGAAGTTAATTGAGCAAGTGTGAATCACTTATGCGATCAACTATGGGACAAAAAGACGAAGTTCATTGAACAAGTGTGAAAAAAATTATGCGAGACAAGCAAAGTTAATTGAGCAAGTGTGAATTACTTATGCTCTCAATTATGCGATAGACAGACGACAAAAATCCCGACTGTTTGATTGTGGATGCCCAATCAGGAAAGGTGATCGACATGTTAAAGGGTCACCTAGACTACTCATTTGCATCCGATTGGCGGCCAAATGGACGCATCTTGGCAACTAGCAACTAGGACAAGACCTGCAGATGTAGGACGTGCCAACCTGTCTGAGTCCTTAGCCGTTCTCAGGGGTAGGTTGGGCGTAATCAGGAGCATCAGGTTCACATGAAATGGCCAATTCATGGCCATGGCGGAGCCGGCCGATTTCGTAACGTGTTTGATGCCAGGTGTGATTATGGGTCGAGATAGAAGATTGATCATTTTGGGGACATAGCTGGGATATCGTTCAGCCCGGATACAGAGGGCTTGTTTGTGGGGATTTCTGACCGGACATATGAAAGCTTGCTGGAGTTCAACCTCAGCCATTTTGACCATTATCTGGAGAGCGTCTTTTGAATGTAAAAACACATTATTGTGGATATGTATGTTTTTTAAGCCATGCTTCTGTTGGTAAGAGTGTTTTGGTTGCATTGAATATGAGGTGAAGTTCTGTAGTTAGTGATAAATGTAGGAGGTTTGGGTTTGTTGATGTTATTTTCATGTGTTCCTTGGCAACTGATGTACAATGATTTTGGGTTCAAATTCAATTTAAAATTTAAAGGGTACATATGTGAAATTTAATTTGAAACCTAAAGTTGATGAATTAGATGTGCTAAATACATGTTGATAGGTCACCACTCGGGTCTGGATAGGACCGGTTAAGATGAGCTCCGACCTACTTGAACCGTCGCGCGTGTACCTGGAAGAACTCAACGCCAGAGAGGTTTCCGGCGAACAGCCTCCGATGCCTAAGCCAATATCATGAAGATGGTGGTGCTCTGTGAATAGGAGTAGTATATAATGTATGGAGAAATATTAAGTTAGGGTTTGAAGATACCTTAGCCTCTTTTATAGGGAAATACCTGCCCGAAATTCTCTGCCCGGGTGCCCGTCGGTAGCCTGCCCAGCTACCCGAGTTTAGTGCTTATTCATATCCTAATCATCTCTTAGTCAGATCCTAGTCATCATAAGATTCATCCTTATGCTCTTAGATTCCTTCTTATCCTTCATAATCGCTTGGCTCCAGGTCGTGATACTTTCTAAGAAGATCTACTCCGTAGTCTACCTCGAGCTGTCAGGTCATAATTGGGCGATAGTATAAGTCGGGTCGTCATTAAGGTTCTCAAGTCGTCTTCGTAACTCTTAGGTTGGTTTACGTCTTTTGGGATCTAAGAGGATCTCGTTATGTACAAGTCACGAATTCAATAGCAAACGTAAACCTATACTTGGGTATATGTTTCACCGTAGACCAATGTTCCCATCCTGGATTACTTTGATATCTATCTACCATGCCAACGGTGCAGTTAATATCTGTCCTCATACATAGCATAGCATACATAAGACTTCCTACTGCCGAAGCATAAGGAACTGTCTTCATGTCTTCTATCTCTTGATACGTCTTAGGAGACATCTCCTTGGATAGACCTATTCCATGTCTGAAGGGTAACATACCCTTCTTGGAATCCTGCATGCTGAATCTTGCCAGACAGTATCTTTGTATGTAGACTGGGATAAGCACATCATTTTCTTCTTACGGTATCGAATGACCCTAATACCAAGAATGTGTCCTGCTTCACCCAAGTCTTTCATATCAAATTGCTTAGACAACCATACCTTCACGTCTGATAGCTACTTCTTACTGTTTCTAATGAGAAGTATGTCATCTACGTAAAACACAAGAAACACCACCACGCTCCCATTAATTTTCTTGTACACACAGTGCTCATCCAGACATTGAGTGAACCCGTACTACTGGATCACCTCATCAAAACAGATGTTCCAAGATCTCAAAACTTGCTTCAGTCCATAAATAGACCGATTAAGCTGACACACTTGGTGTTCATGTCCCTTATCAATGAATCCATCTGGTTGTTGCATATAGATGTCCTCCTGAAGGTTCCCGTTAAGGAAAGCTGTCTTGACATCCATCTGCCAGACCTCATAATCCATATGAGCGGCTACAACCAGGAGAATCCGAATGGACTTAAGCATAGCTACTGGCGAAAAGGTCTCATCAGAATCAGTACCCTCTTTCTGGGTATAACCTTTCGCAACATGCCTAGCTTTGAAGGCTTCCACCTTCCCAGACCTGATTGGAGTCCATTGACCCAATTTTAGCTTTCACTGCAATATTCCATGAATCTGCATCTTTATCTTGGAGTGCCTCGTTGTAGGTTCTTGGGTCCGATTCTAGGTCTCCTAGAACTGAGTCCGATGACTCTCCAAGAAACCCTCCCACTACGACGAGGTGCTGTCTGCACTGGTACACTCTCAGTGTGACGTGTTGCAGTATTATGTGATGTATCTACTTGCGCATTCGGTGGGGAACTATCGACTTCACTCCTTAACTCTTCTAAGACTAATCTACTCGCGAGCTTATGATTCATAATATACTCTTCTTCTAAGAATCTAGCGTTCGTCGAAACGATCACCTTCTAATCCTCAGGACTATAAAATAATCCAACTTTCGTTCCCTTGGGATAACCTACAAAAACTCGTGCTTCCGAACGTTTCTCCAACTTGCCAGGCTCCTGCACTAATACGTGTGCAGGACTACCCCATACTCAAAACTGTGAGAAACTGGGCTTGCGCCCTTTCCACATCTCATAAGGAGTAGTGTCAACTGACTTCGATGGAATCATGTTCAAAATATACGATGTTGTTTCCAACGCCATACCCCAGAACGAATGTGGTTATCTTGAATAACTCATCATCGACCTAACCATCTCCATAAGAGTCCTATTTCTTCGCTCTGCAACCCCGTTCCGCTGGGGCGTGCCGAGTGCAGTTAGTTGGGATTCAATCCCAGCTTCCGATAAGTACGTCTTAAACTCTCCAAAGAGGTCTTCGCCATCTGATCAGATCGAAACGACTTGATACTCTTACCATGAAGCTTTTCCACAACTGCCCGATACTCCTTGAATTTCTCAAAGGATTCAGACTTGCGGTGCAACAGGTAAATGTACCCAAATCTCGAGTAGTCATCAGTAAATGAGACAAAATACTCGTAACCACCTCTATCCTGGATCTACATAGGAAAACACAAATCAGAATGAATCAATCCTAGTACTTCTTGGCTCCTTGAATTTCTCAAAGGATTCAGACTTGCGGTGCAACAGGTAAATGTACCCAAATCTCGAGTAGTCATTAGTAAATGAGACAAAATACTCGTAACCACCTCTATCCTGGATCTACATAGGAAAACACAAATCAAAATAAATCAATCCTAGTACTTCTTGGCTCCTATACCCCTTTGCCGTAAACGGCCTCTTGGCCATCTTACTTTCCAGACACGATTCGCAAGTTGGATAGTGATATTCCAATGGACCGAGATGTCTACTGGTCACTAACTTTTGAATCCTCCTAAGGTTGATGTGCCTAAGTCTAAGGTGTCAAAGATATGCTTGATTCATCTGCGAAGACTCCTTCCTCTTATTAGATTTAGTCATGACATTATTCAATTCAGTTTGTTGCACTGTGGGATAGTTTGGTGTAAGAACATACAAATTGACAACTACCGAACCAGAACAAATAAAACGATTTCCATAATGAATAATAACCAAGTCATCAAACGTAAATGAAAAACCACCCTAGACAAGTTTAGAAACTGAAACAAGGTTCTTTCTAAAACTCGGAACATAAAGACAATGTCTTAAAACCAAACTACTACTATCAAAAGATAAAATAACGTCTCCCACTGCAACAGCCGCCACTTTCGTAGCATTGCCCATGTATACGGTGATCTCTCCCTCCTTAAGTCTCCTGGTTTCCTGGAACTCTTGCAAAGAATTGCAGACATGATCAGCGACTGCAGTATTTACACACCAGGTTCTGGTAGATACAACCGCTAAACATGTTTCTACTATATTAATAAAAGAGTTACCTTTCTTGAGGAGAGGGCAGTTGACCTTCTGCCCCGATCTCGCAGCTTTAGACGACTCAACTGCTTCCTGAACAGAGCTCATTTTCCTCTTTATCCTTACGGACTTAGAGGACGAGGCAATATCTCGTTCTGTAAGAATCATCTGCCGCTCCTCATGGATAATCTTCTCATCCGCCTCAAGTTCCCAATCAGCTGAGTCACAAGCATATTCCAAAGAATCGGGCTGTAACTATAGCAGAACTGGTTGAGGTACTTATGCAGCGAAAATAGTATTATGTCAGCCTTGATACACTCTTCTATGAGTGCACCCTCAGACTCCATGCGAGTGAACTGCTCCATTACCTTCTGGACATGTTCTATTACGGGAGTGCCCTTAGCCATGGTGATCAACATGAAAATGTCTAAGTTCCTCTTCCAATCAAATGGTTTGGGATTAGCAAGTTGTTTTCCTTTAGAATTGACAGATAACAGATTGAACGACATGAGGTCCTCGACTCTATTTGAGTAGCAGGCGATCCATGTAATGTTTGATTTATGAGTTCGAGTATAAGTTGCTTGTACTTGCGTATAAATTGCTTGTTGCAATGTTAACTTACTTTTGTGATGTCTTTGAAGAGATGCCTGCTATCCCGCTACCCAAGAGGAGGGTTCCTCTGAAAAAGAAACCCACTCAAGCCTCAAGCTCTCGGCCGTCTGAGTTGACCACAGCACCCAACCACTCGACCTCCTCTGTAACGCCCCACTTTGATTTTAAAGAAATTCCGGACTTTCAGAAAAATCAAAATAATTTTTTCAAAATTTATTTCAAGCATTTGTGGCATTACTCATTCATTTCAAATCATTACCATAACATAAATCATCTAACTCCCAAAACGGATTCATAAATCCATAAATTCTCAATTCACCCAAAACGGGCTCCCAAAATAAATCTCAAGTTTTAAGACATGACAATGTCGACGGGGCATCTCCCCAAGTATCTCAATACTTCATAAATTCTCAAAGTTCGAAAATGCATAAATCATAAATAGTCATAATTATAGCGGAAGCAAAATCAATTAATAACCGGTCTCATAGACTGACTACCACTCGCTCTATTCTGCCGTCGTACCTCTCTTGCTTAACCTGAAACGTGAATTTCAAGTGGGGATAAACACAGTTGGAAATCGTAGTGCTCACCACTATGAAATAAACATTTTCATAACATAAACAGAAATAGTATGATCACAGCATGTATAAGAATCAATCAAGTATCCCTAAATTTTCATCATAAATTCACAGTGTTCAGACTCATGTGCACATCTATATCAATAGACTACTGCCGGTAGATGTATCGAAGGCCCTCGCTCGGGTCATGCTTCGAATGCCCCATGGGCTCTACATCTATGCCCTCCGGTCTTACACACCGAATCGCCACACGGGCTTCCATCGATGCCCAGTCAGTAGGAGTAACCCCTAGGTTTATTTTCATAAATACGAGACAACTATTCGACGGCCGGTACAGCTCACATCCAGGCTACAGGCTACATGATTCGTAATCATACATTGATCATCACAGGTAAGGTAAACAATTTATTGCATAGACAATTTTAATAAAATCCACCTGGAAATCGAGTAGGCAACAACACACAAGCTAAAGAACGTAGGTCGAGGGCTCGACTGCCTCAAACCTAAAAATTAAGGATTAAATTATTATTAAGGGTTTTGATTGGGTTGATTAGACCACACAAGCAGGTAAAGCACACTTCAACTACTAAACCGCATGAAAAGGCTCAATACCGAACATAATAAATCAAAGCCCAAAACAATAAGTCGAACTTATAATACACATGAGGTACAACACATAAGCATTCAATTACAGCATACAAAACACATGACATAGCCTTCTCTTTTCACTTAAGCAACAACTCTCAATTTAACTAATACTTAGGCGACAACATAACAACTTAAACTCAAAATATACACATAATATCAGTAACTTAACACACAAGAAGTCACCGCATATAGGCAAATCAAATAAAGCACTCAAACCACACGGTATAGCCTTCTCTAAATTTAAGCATGCCATAATAATCTTTAAAATTGATTTGAAAAGCATATGAAACACCTAAATTCAGCATGGAATAGACACATAAGGATCAGGATGTATATCCCATACCACTCAGCCACAAACAGCAACAATTTAAACCAAATTCTCAACACATTATACCTTATGCCATCTTCTTTTTCTCTCAAGTTTAACCACTTAAGCATGGCATTAGGAAAACAGGAATTTAAGCAAGAATTCAGCATGAATCAACATATTTTAACTCCACAAATTCGCCCTGTACAACAGTCTCATCAACCAAAATATAATCAAGGCAAAGACACCCCAAACGCAGCACATAAAAGCTCCCTGATTCTCACATTTTCAGCATGTAAAATGCTGCATCAAAGGTTCAACAACCAGCTCACAACGTGGAAAAAAAAAACAAGGCCTCGAAAGCATACTAATCTTATAAATAAAGTTCAACAAGACATATAAAACAAAGCTAACTAAAATATACTACAAGCAGCTCATTCCCTTTCTCTTTCTCATGAACAATTAACATCAAATTGAGGCACAATCAACATACATGACCCATTCAACAATCACAGGGCACGCACACGGCCAACCGGGCACAACCATAGCACATCATATCAAGCACATAATCAAATATTCCTGGTCACAAACAAATAGGACAAACACCTCATATACTCGGTCAAAACACAAAGGCATAAGTCTCAGCAATTAATACGTTTCTCGAAACTTAAGAAAATAAGCTGAAAGGGAGGCTCAGTTCACTCGACGAACATCCCCTGGAGACGGTCGACAAGTCCCGGGCTGTTACCCGGTAACCGGACGTAGAGAACAGGCTGTTCGGGGCTCTCGGCAAAGGATCGACCCGCTTCTCTTCTTGCCCGGGGCCCGAAAGGGCTGTTGTTCGTCAGAAAAGTCCCCGCTGCTCGTCGTATATTACAATCGGGGCTACTGCTGCTCGGAATTAAAATTGACGGTTGCTCGATAAGAGCCTCGAGCGGCTGCTGCTCGTTGCCGGAAAAAACTCGGGGTCTACACGGCTATGGCGAACGGCTGGGTGCACTCGTTCGCCGGTAGGGCTGCTCGAATCGTCGCTAAGGTCAGCCTTCGATAGTCGCGCTTGGTCTCTTCAGCCATCGGGAACTGAAGCTCTTCGCCGACGTTTTCCCGCTTCCGATTGCACGATCTCAGACGCCTGCAACTCGCCAGATTGGTGCTGCTCTCGCCGGAAATGGTCGGGTCTCGCCTTCTCTGTCCACCGGTAATACGCTCTCAGCCGACGGTCGACGTTGGAAGAGGGGTTGCCGAGAGGTGCGAGGGTCGTCGCTCGGGAAGAAAACTCAGCCGCTGCGAGGGCCGGGTTGGTTATGGTTGCGCCGATGGTGGCTCGCCATCGCTGGTCTGGGTTTCGTCGGAGCTTGCGGCGGACGGTTGGAATTTGCCGAAAATTGATATAATGTAGGATGAAAGCGAGGCTTTTTTTTTTTCCAAACGATAATAATACATCTCATAAAACCAATGAAGAATACATAGTCCAGAATCAAACCGTAGAGCACACTAGCTCAAATCACACAAGAAGAAAATACATGGAGTACCACACCTCCGGTGGACTACAAACACAAATCAACCAAAACTAGAAACACAAGCGCCTAAGGCAAATACAAAGATTTGACCCCTTAGACAAACACGGACCAAACAGCAACAAACTAAAGTACACACTAACACAGAGCCACTAAACATAAGAACCTAGCTCCGACCCAACCCACAAGACGCAAAACACAAAAAAGAAACCAAACTAGAGACGACAACTGCTGAACTCTGCCCATTCCTTCACAGCATTGCGAGCAACTATCAATTCTGGCATCCACACCTTTTGAAAGACCCACAAGTTACGTGATTTCCATAGCCACCATAATATGTACGTCGATAATTGGATCCTGGCTTCGGTTGTTGGTGCCTTGTTCATTTCTGCCAAGCTCCCCCACCAATATTTGAATTTTGATACAGGTATAGTAGCTTGGTCCCAAGAAACAGGTGCATACCCCCACACTTTGACTGCCCTGGTGCAATTGAACATAACATGCTCCACAGTTTCCACACAATCCCCACAACACTGGCAAACCTGATCAACCTGCACTCCTCTAAAACTCAAATTTACACTAACAGGTAAGGTATCTGTAAAGCATCTCCAAACAAAATGTTTTAGCTTCCCCTTAACCTTCAAATTCCAGCACCTCATTCTAGCCTTTTTATCAGAAATCACAGAGGAGCTACAGCCAGGCAGGTCAAGCTTAAGTAGCTTCTTCCTAATTGCAACAGAGTAAGCTGATGAGACAGAGAACTTACCTTTAGCATCTGCCTTCCAAATCCACCTATCTTTCTCATTGGGGTCAAGGCCTGTCATTGCCAGAATAGCATTGCAAGATGTCTCATTAAACAACTCTTGGACAACATCTTTATTCCATCCTCTGCCATCTGCTGTTAGGAGTTCAATCACCCACTGAAGCTGAAGTTCAGTATTCTCTGATCTCAGAGTTGGCTTCCCAGCAGGTAACCCTGTAACCCAAGGATAAGACAAGATTTTGGTGTTCAAACCATCCTTCACTTCCCTTCTAAAACCTTCTCTGTAAATATTCATCACTTTCACCCAAGAATTCCAGAGCCAAGATGCAGAACTATGAGTTTTGGCCTCCAAGACACACCTAGCAGGAAAATACTTTTCCTTCAAAATCCTGGTCACCAAAGTGTTGGGTTGAGTAAGCAATCTCCAGATTTGTTTAAGGATCAAAGAGTCATTAAATACTCTCACATCCTTAGAACCCAGTCCACCAGACTCCTTTGGTAAAGTAACCTTCTTCCAAGCCACCCAGTAGATACCCTTCTTCTGCTCAGCCCCTCCAGCCCACCAGAAATCTGCACTCAGCTTAGCAATCTCTTTGCAAATACTGATAGGTAGGCAAAAACAAGACATGACAAAAACTGGAAGGGCATTAATAATAGCATTCATTAGTACCTCCTTCCCAGCTTTTGATAAGAGTTTATTGGTCCAGCTATTGATTCTCTTCCTCACAGCTTCCAGCACAAAGTTGAACACCTCTTTCTTAGACCTCCCCAATCCCATTGGTAGGCCCAAATATCTGGTAGAAGAGCACATTGCTATCCCCTGTAGAACCTGGCACACCCCATGCTTCACCACCTCACAAGTATTTCTACTGAAGAACACAATAGATTTTGCAAGATTTACCCTTTGCCCAGAAAAACTTTGATAAACTGCAAGCACCCTCAACAGACTCAGAGCATTAGATTCATCAGCAGCACAAAAAACTAGGGTATCATCAGCAAATAAGAGGTGAGATAAGGTAGTCCCACCTCTACATATTTTCAGTCCCTGCATTTCCCCATTTCTCACAGTGGTTCTTATCAATCTGGAAAAGACTTCTGAGATTAAGATGAAGAGGTAAGGGGACAGAGGGTCCCCTTGCCTGATACCCCTTGAAGGAGTCACAAAACCAGAAACTTTCCCATTGACATTAAAAGAGTAAGCTGCAGATGACATACATGCAAAAATCCACTGAACAAAGGTACTATGGAACCCCATCTGAAGCATTGTTTTCACCACACAATTCCACTCTACTCGGTCATAAGCCTTCATCATATCAAGTTTGACTGCCATGAAGCATTTTTTACCAGATCTATGTTTATTCAGAAAGTGGATGACCTCATGAGCAATCACCACATTATCTAGTAGTTGTCTATCCGGCACAAATGCAGACTGAGTTTCATGAATACAGAATTTAAGGCACTCTCTCAGTCTAGAAGCCAAAATTTTAGCCACAATTTTATAGGAGACACAGCAAAGGCTAATAGGTCTAAAATGATTAATAGAGACAGGGTTATCAATCTTTGGGATTAAGGTGACTACAGTGTGATTCCAGCTAGTTATCATCCTTCCAGATTCAAAAAAATAAGCCACCGCAGCACAAAGGTCCTCTTTCAGAATAGGCCAAAAATGTTGATAAAAGAGAGGGGTCATGCCATCATTACCTGGAGCCTTATTGGGATTCATAGAGAACAGTGCAACCTTTACTTCTTCTTCCTCCACAAAGGCAATCAGGGCTTCATTCATAGATTCAGTGATGGATTGAGGAATTAATGGTAGCACTTCAGCCTCCCCCCATGAACCTTCTGATTCAAACAGTTGTTGGTAAAAATTTCTGATAGCAAGTTCAATCTGCTCCTGGGACTCCACCACTTGATTCTGCTCCACCACCAGCCTGTCAATTGCATTTTTCTTCCTTCTTTGCATAGTCATGGCATGAAAAAATTTTGTATTCTTGTCTCCTTCCCTCAACCACTGCAACCTTGCCTTTTGACTCCAGAAAACTTCCTCTGATAAATGTGATTGGTCTAGCTCGTGCTTGATCTGCTCCCACTCATCCCAATTTCTTTGACCCCCCAGCTGCCTCATCTCCTCCAATTTCAATGTAAGGTCCTCAATCTTCTTGGCATTGTCTGATTTGAAAAGCTTATTCCACCTGATAATGGCCATTCTTGTCTTCTTGATCTTCTTTCTCACCTTCACCATGGGATTCCCCTCCACCTGCTCACTCCAAGCCTTTTCTACCTCCTCAGAACACCTCTCCATCTTCACCCACTTTTTATCAAACACAAATCTCTTGAAAACTTTTGGTCTTTGGGTACCAGTCTCCAGAATCAACATAGAATGGTCAGAAGCACTTTTAAATTGAGAAGTCACTTTGGCACCGGGATAAGAAGAGACCCAAGCAAAGGAACCAAACAGTCTATCGAGTTTCTCCTCCACAAAACCTTCCCCTTGCCTGTTGTTGCCCCAAGTATATGGGTAACCCTCCATTTTGATCTCCATCATACCCATATTAGCACAGAAGGCATTAAAAGAATCAAAACTCCTCTCCGATCTTACCCTTCCTCCTCTTTTATCACTACTACTCCTAATAGCATTCCAGTCTCCCCCAATGCACCATCTATTACCCCATAATCCTTTGTCATCCTCTAATGCCCTCCACTGCAGCTCCCTGACATAGCTATCTGTACTCCCATAGACAAAGATCATCCACTCAGGTACAGCCACCTCCTCAGACTTATACTTCACCTGAATACAAAAGGAATGAGTAACTATTTGAAGCACTTCCACCTCTCTACTCCACATCAGCATTAGACCTCCACTTTGACCCAGAGGCTCAACAATTATTCTCCTCTCCGCAAAACCCAACTTCTTGCACACTGTTTTCATAAAAAACTTTGTTTTTCTAGTCTCAGATAAAAACACAAAACTGGGGAGGTGGGCCTTAATGGCTTCCTTGATTTGGGAAACTGTAGAGGGCCCTCCAGACCTCTATAGTTCCACAAGGTTGTCTTCATTTATCCATTTGGGGCCCTTCAAGGCTGGCTACCCCCACCTGTTCTTCATTCTCAGTCTATGATGTAGTACATACTCTTTTGGCTTGCCCCGCAGTACCCACTTCCATGGCTTGCTCGAACACCTGTCTATGTCTCTTACCAATCCCCTGAACTGGAACAATCTCCATTGGACTATCAGTTCTATTGAGTCTCCCCTTGGCTTGTCCCTTCCTCCTCCACACAGGAACCTTCAGTGTCCCACTTTGAGCTTTGAGATTTCCCTCTTGTTTCTTAGTTGAAACACACCCCTGCTCACCCTCTTCTAACTCCCTTGCTACCCCCTTACCATGCATCTTCACACTGCCTCTATCCTCCACCTCCACACTTCTTCTGCTCCCACCACCCTTCTCACTAGCTTGGATATCCTCCAGCTCCTCCCCTCTTTCCATACTGCCATCTCTAGTAACCAAAGCTACATTCCACTCACACCCTTCTCCCCTCCTGTTCTCTGCATGGAATTGTGTTGCTGATGATGGTTCCCCTATTTTTTGAGAATTACTCTGGCCATTTGAAGTATGTGATGGTTGAGAATGTGGAGATGATCCCATATGCCTCCCTAGCTCCACTGCTTTCATCCAATCTCCAAACTGTCCTTCTTCCACCATCCCTTCCTCTATGTGCCTCAACCTAGTTTTACAGTCCCTCTCCAAGTGCCCCACCAAACCACAGTAAAAACACAGGCTTACCAGCTTTTCATACTGGAACACCACATTAAGATGTTGGTTGCCCAGCTTGATCTTTGTACATCGAGGTAGAGCCTCAGCTGTGTCCTGGGCGACCAATAATCTAAGAAAACTGCCTTTGCTTCCCCCCTCTTTAACAACAACCACATTCTTAACTTTCTTGAATAATTTTCCTATCTTCATGCCCACCTCTGTGCTCAGCCAATGAAGAGGGAGTTTATGAACCTGAACCTACAGGGTAACATCCTTAAATCCCTCATCTAACGCCGTCAGGTCTTCCCGCCATTCTTGCAGCACCAGATATTGGTTCTCAAACACCCAATTGACTCCTGCCATCACTTTCGCTTTATCCTCCTGACACCCAAAAATGAATTGAAAAAAATTCAACCCCAGCTCCTTAACTTCTATCGGCTGTGTTGTTTGCCACACAATGCCCATCGTACGTTTTATCCCAAATTTGCTTGCTTTTCGGTCCCCAATAATCTTGCCCAGCAGACTACGATTACATTCCTCCTCAACAATCCGGATATCATCTGTTGCCAATTCCACACCCCGACTTTCTTTTGCCGAGAGATTTAGGTTATGAAATCGTTCCCCCAAATCGTCATCCATCCCGCCCTAAATTTCTCACCAACACACTCTTAAATTACTCGCGCTAAATAGATCAAAATACCGATGGTAGATCACTCTTCTACAAGAGAAGAAAGCCCTCCATTGAGAGAATCAGCTCTCCATTGAGAGAATGTCTTAGAGAGGTGAAATTTGAGAATTTCTCCCGATCTGATATTCTCTGGTGGTAGGCGCGTAAGTGAGGAGATGGATTGGTTGGGTTGCTAAAAAGTGGGTCACAAAGGCCTAAACAAAATGGGCCGATAGAATTTTATTTGCTTGGGCCGAAATTTAGCAACTCTTAGGATGCTTTTCGGCTAGATGATGGACTAAAATACTTAGAGGAAATTGCACCCCCTACTTCATCCTCCTTAATATTTTATAAATTTACATCTCTTAATTAATTATTTATGTAATTACTATACTAAGAATAAAAATTTGCTAATATACCTAAAGTTATAATTTTGCAGTTATCAGATAATTAAGGATAATGGGCTTACATTACGGCAAATTAAATCCTCAAAAGAAAACCGCTGCACACTTCTCTCACGCGATCTTCGGAAAAAACGAAATCTCATTCAGAAAGAAAAAAAAAACTTCCTCCGTCAATGGCGAAAACCAAAATCGCACAAGATCCTGGTAAAAAAACGGTGAAAGAAGGCGACGATACACCACAGATAAGGTCAAGTTCCCGGCTTCAGAAGAACATTTCAAAATCAAAGCCCAAACTCATTCAGAAGAAGTTAGTTTTTGAGAAAAAAACGAACCCCAACCCTAATCGCAAGCCAGCCGGCAACGCAAGGATGAAGAAGCAAGTTCCATCCCCTGATTCAGATGATTTCCAATCCGAAGACGGCCGTAAAAATCCAAAACACATGCGGCGGGACCCTAAATCCAAAATCCCCAATTCCACTGAGAAGGGTAATTCCTCTGACACCGATTTTGAAGATGAAATTCAACCGAAGACGTCGATAGCAAAGATAATTTCAGCGAAGAGGAATCCCCGGTGGAAATTTTCAACAAAAGAATAAAAAAAAGGCTTCAAAAAGAGAAACCTGAAGTTAATTTGAACAAGAAACGGAGAAAACCGAACACCGACCCTCAACATGTTCATAAACAGATAGTGTATAAGGTAAAATTTTGTGTACATTGCATTTTTTTAATTTTTATTATTTACGAGCACTTTACTGGCAGACTGGTAAATCGAAAGGCGGACGGAGGAGTTTGACAAGTTTTTTAAACGTGAAACATCATTGTTGTTTATTGATTATGAATTGGTTCATTTTGTCAGTTAATTGGTGTATGTGAACGAATAATTTGTCATGGTCCTCACATTGTATGTTTGACTAATATTGTTCTTTAGTCCTAGGTTGTTGATATCTCTGTTTGGTTGACTAATATTGTTCTTTAGTCCTATATTGTTCTTTAGTGTGCTGCTCCTTTTATACCTCAGATTAGTATATCTATGTTTAGTATAGTAATTCAAAACTGAGTATATATTTTGCTATATGTATGTGTTTTATTTCTCATTTTTTAATTTCACCCTCTGCTCCAAGAATGAATGTTGAGAATTTCACAGGACATGTAAAACTAATAAGCATTCAAAACTGAGTATATATTTGGTATATGTCTGTGTTTTATTTCTCAGTTTTATACCTCAGATTATATGTCAAGTATATGCAATTATTTTTTACAAGTATGTGCTATTTTTTAGCACAGAAATACACCTAATATATACCCACTCAACTGTATAACTCTGATTAGTATATTAATCACACTGTAAAACTAATACTTAGACTGATTACTATATTTCTGAAGTATATTTACTTGTCTAAGCATAGAGAATTGTAATCTGTCAACAAGTATATACTATTGATTTGTCTGTTTTTGTCATATTTGTGAATGATGAGAATACATATAACAGAATATAACTGACTTGTCTGTTTTGTTATATATGTGAATGACCTGTCTGTTTTGTAATATGTGAACAAGTATATAGCATAGATATAACAGAATATAACTGAGAATTTGTATTATTTGTAATATCTACAATCTGTGAACAAGTATATAGACTTGTCTGTATTATTTGTAATATCTACAATATGTGGTATCACATGATGAGAATTTCACAGGATATGGTATATCTGTGTACAGTTCAAAAGAATCCACAAGTATAACAATCTGTGAATGATGAGAATTTCATAGGATGTGGTATATTGATTTGTCTGTATGTGGTATATTTACAGAATGTTGAAGATGTTCACAGGACATGTAAAACTCTTAAGAATCTGTGAACAATAATATGTGAACAAATACATTTCTAGTACTATGTGAACAATATGCTAGTAACCTGTGAACAAGTATATCTGTGCTAAGCTGTGAACAATTTCTGAACAATATGGTTAGTATATGTTAGTAATCAGACATATCGTGTATATAAAAATCTATATTTTTTCTTTTGATTATTTTTCAAGAATGAGAATTGCTTATCCCGCATCCAAGGGATATAAACGTCAAGGTGCAAAACAGCAACGACAATAGTAAAGAAAAATGCACGATAAGTGACATCAAGAATAATCTTTCCAAGGAGCAATTGAAAGCTTTTCGGATGTCAGCCTTTGGGAATTTCTTGGATCTCCCACACTGCATTGTCCAGAACTAGCTTATAAACTATATACTTTTACGCGAGGTTCATCAGAGTAGGACAGATGAGATGTGGTTTGACTTCGGAGGGAAATACCTCCGGTTTGGTATAGAGGAATTTGCTGTCGTGACTGGCTTGAAGTGCACTGGGCATAGTAAGAAATTGAATATTCCAAATATTTCCAATGGTCTGCACGACAAGTATTTTGACGGTGTTGAATTAAGTCGGAGCCACATCAGGTGGCAGTTTCAAAAAAAATTGTGGAAGAGTGACGAAGATGCGGTGAAATTTGCTAAGTTGCATCTATTAGCAAATTTCCTCATGGGCTCTCAAGATGCTCTCCGCATAGACCGCTGTTTTGTTGACATGATCGACAGCCCAGATTGCGATGATTACTCGTGGGGAACCACTGTGTTTTAGTTTACACTACACTACCTGAAGAAATCCATTCAAACCAGAGAGCAGATGCACATATCTCATAAGGATGACGGAAGTAACTTGTATCGTTGCTATGGTCTGATATTGGCCCTTCAGACATGGTTTTATGAGGTTTGCGACATGGCTGAGGGTGTAGTCGCAACCTACGTCGGTGTACACGATATCCCGAGGATAATAAAGTGGGAAGTTCATGAACCGTGCACTCGTATTTTTGCGCAGAGAACCTTTTCTAATCTCCATCACTCTAAGGTAAACAATAATGATTTATTATATCTATCATATATCTGCCGGGATAACAATTTAATTTTCTTATGTACAGTTCAATAACATCGTTCCAACCGAGGCCGAAAAACAAACTCTTTTGTTGGACTCATTCTTCAGAAAAAAAAAATGAGTTCACTCGGAAAAAGATTCCATCAAGCGTCGCACCGCAGCAGACCAATGACGATGATGTTATAACCCGCCTCGACACACTTACTGCTGATGTCCAGGACCTGAAGGAAGCCTTCCACGACTTCTCGAGAAGGGTTTTTGCGGAATTTGCTTTGTTCAAAGAAAAATTCTTAGTAAGTCATTGTTCATTTTTTTTTAATACATATGTGCTACATATATACTATATATGTGGTCATATACACCATTTTTTATTGCTTCTAAGATTTGGCATAAACTGTGTATATAGTATATGTTCAGATTATGTGTGTTCATATATACCACATATATAAACAGAACAAAGGTTCTATATTTATTTATGATTGAATGTGGTCAAATATGCCAATTTTTATTGCTTCTTATAGTATATGTTCAGATTATATTGGATCATATATGTGGCCATATATACAACATATATTGCTTCTAAATTGTTTAGAACAGTTGGATGTATTATACTTGAACAAAGGGTAAATAATTATTTGCAACCTGTACTAATCGCGTTTTCTGATTTTGCAACCTAAAGAATATTTTGTACTAAATTGCAACCTTTAATACACGGGTTTGCCTGTATCGCAACCTCCGTCCA